CAAGTGAAGGAATCACTACAAGATGGTGCTAAGGTATTTTTGTTGATGGCAATAATGAGCATTGGTGAAAGTGGAACGATTGCTGCTTTACCAATTGTCCGTAACTTTCCGAAAGTTATTGCTGAGGAGATAATAGATTTACCGTCGAAACAAGAAATGGAGTTTGTGATCGACTTAATTCCTGGAATTGGTCCGATATCGATGGCTCCATATCGTATGTCCACATCGGAATTGATAGAGTTGAAGAGTCAACTTGAAGATCTACTTGAGAAGAGGTTTATTCGTCCGAGTGTGTCACCGTGGGGTGCACCGGTGTTGTTGGTTAAGAAGAAAGAGGGTTCTATGAGACTCTGTGTAGATTACAGACAATTGAACAAGGTGACTATCAATAATAAGTATCCACTTCCGAGGATTGATGATTTGATGGATCAGTTGGTTGGTGCGAGTGTCTTTAGTAAGATAGATTTGAGATCTGGGTATCATCAGATTCGCGTGAAGGCTGAGGATATTCAGAAGACTGCTTTTAGAACGAGGTATGGACACTATGAGTATTTTGTGATGCCATTTGGTGTGACTAATGCACCAGGTGTATTTATGGAGTACATGAATAAGATTTTCCATCCTTATTTGGACAAGTTTGTGGTCGTGTTCATTGATGATATTTTGATTTATTCGAAGAGTGAAGAAGAATATGTCGAGCATTTGAGGATTGTGTTATATGTATTGAAAGAGAAGCAGTTATACGCTAAACTTTTTAAGTGTGAATTTTTGTTGAAGGAAGTGAGTTTCCTTGGTCATGTGATTTCTAGTAAAGGTATTGCAGTTGATCCGTCGAAGGTTGAAACAGTATCACAATGGGAGACTCCGAAATCAGTTTTTGAGATTAGAAGTTTTCTTGGTTTGGCCGGATATTATCGAAAATTCATTGAGGGATTTTCCAAGTTATCTTTACTATTAACTCAGTTGACTAGGAAAAGTCAAGCTTTTGTTTGGGATGCGAAGTGTAAGGGATGTTTTCAAGAACTTAAGAGAAGGTTGACGGCAACTCCTGTTTTGTTTTTGCCGAATCCGACAGAACTGTTTGTTGTTTATTGTGATGCTTCTTTGATGGGTTTAGGAGGTGTGTTGATTTAAGATAAACAAGTTGTAGCTTATGCTTCGAGGCAACTCAAAGTGCATGAGAAGAATTATCCGACGCATGACCTAGAGTTGGCCACCGTTATATTTGTGCTAAAACTTTGGAGGCATTATTTGTTTGTTTGCTTGATATTTCATATATTTTCAGGTCGCTTCCATTTCAATGTTGCAAGTATATTTTTCGGTTGAATAAGATTCAAGGTCATGCCACTAATACATTCCTTCTCTTCCGACTTGAGTCGACATACACTAGTATGACAAACTAATTTTAAACATAATTCATGGTTATGCAAACCACATATAACATAAATCTCCAATTTTTGTTTGGAAACATGTAACCAAAAATCTTAAACGGAACTCACATTTTCTACTACCTGTGTCGTCTCTTTTAAGATTTCGGAGAGGAGTTTGATCTCTCCCGCTTCTTTCGCACAACATTGTCACAAAGGCGCATCTTTAATCCGAGCCATTATCAGACCTTCTGATTACCATCATAAATCCAATTCTAGATGCCTCCATGCAAATCCATTCAAGTATTTTATCACGATTTTCAAACTCTTTCTTGTTATTAAAGTCGTTGCCAACATCTACTTTACAACAACCCCTTGAACATTCGGAGAAACATCGTTTGGAGAAACTACTTTTTTTTGAAAGTTGAGAAACACAAGAAATGGGGGGTTTGAATTAAGTTTCACATTTTCCCCCCTTTTGCGGAATTAGAAAGATAAACTAACAATGACAATAAAAATAAATGACATAATTATTTTTATCCTGATTCACTGTTAACGAAGTTACTCCAGTCCACCCATCGAGGTGATTTTGCCTTATCACAAGGACTTAATCTAATAATCATCAATGATTACAACCACAATGGATACATTCCATTTCCTTATTGAGAATCCTGGCTTTCACTAGCCTCTCAAGGAATCAACCTCCAAGCCGTTAGAGACGACCTGACCCTCTCAACCATTCTGGTCTTCACTCGACCACTCAAGGAACAACATCCACTAAGTTGTTAGAAACACGCTTAGTCTTCTCAATCATTCTGGTCTTCACTGAACCGCTCAAGGAACAATACCATTTACAAGGAATTTCTTGTGCATTAATATGATTCTTACAAGCCGATTACACAAATGAAGTTCATGAACACCTAAGTGTTTCTAAGCAAGATATGAGCAACAACTCCTTGCTTTCTAATACAGAAAACTATCTAAAGAATGAATCTCTGAGAGATTATAAAACATTAGTTATGTATTGCTTAAAAGCTTTCTTGATGAGCACTACAACTTCTTTTCACGAGCTTTAAGCTTCTTTTTGATGAATTCCTTTCTTGAGCATATTATGCTTCTTCCAGTTTAACCATCAAGATTAACTAAGTTACTATGCTTCACTTATTGATGTTTCACTTGACTAGTTTCACATGGCTTTAGCATGTTGCATCGTTGTACGCACTTTAGCAGTTTGCTTCAACTTCTTCTTTATTGAGCATTCTTCATTTAAGCTTCAACTTGTAGTATTTTCTTCAGCACTTTGGAAATTTGCTATCAATGATCCACTTTCAACAATTAGCTACATTTTCTATATCTCCTTCAAGCTTCTTGATCTTCAATTTATAGAGCTTGAGAGGATAGATCCGTTGAGGGGTATTCTTGGAAACATATTCCAACAACAATATCCCAACATTCACATGAAGGAATGGTCAACATCACTGTACAAAAAGCTACTTTTGTGCCACCTTTTCGAGGTAGAGGTCACAGAGTTTTAGTACTATTATATTCAGCTCAAAACCATTCTCATCTTCAATCTTCTAGCATCTTCTGAGGCTTCAGATATTAACTTAATGAATCATGTTGTAGAAGAGTCATTCTTTGTGTAATCTTCAAAACCACAGTCTTCAGAATCTCAGATCTTCGTAAAGCAGAACCTAGTCACAAGATTCTTCAGCAATTGGCTTCTTAGAAGCATTATCTTCAGAGTCTTCAGAACCTGTTCTATCAAAACCTCATCTTCAGAGTCTTCATATTTCATTAAGTGCATACTTTGTCTTCAGAGTCTTCAGTACTTTGTTCAATCAGAACCTTGTCTTCAGAAACTCTTTAGAACTTGATCTTTATAGATGATATCTTCAGAACCTTCATAGCTTTGTTCACCAGAACCATGCCTTCAGAATCTTCAGAGCTGTAACAATAGAAATCACATTTCTTGTAAAGCCTTTTAGGCTTGCTTATAAAGTATCAATCAGAGACCTTGTTACTAATGTTCCTTAGAATCATTGCATTAAAAGTATTTTTGAATCTTGACTTTATCTTGTACACATATATGTTTTCTTCCAGAGTGTTGATAACAGAGTTTGATAATGTCACACGTTTTCTTATCAGAGTTAGAATCATATTAACAACAACCACACACTAGACAGAAACCATGTCATACAAAATTGTTCTCTTAGATAATATGTGCAGTTATCATCAAAAATCAAAGGTCAGATGTAGAATCAAATTTTGTTCTTATAGTTTTGGGAAAACATCGGGGGTGCACCATATCTATTGAAAACAATTAAAACCATGACAGAACATTAATTAATCTACTGTTGCAAAAACGCTAAAAAATGAACACAAACACATTTCAGAAATGCATCTCCGGATAAGTTCATACACGTTTTGGAGATACATTTTCGGACACAGCGTAAGTTTTTTTCCAGAAAAATTCCATGATTAAGGTGAACAATGTAGAGGAAAAAGTACAATCTTTACCTGAAATTCTATCTTCTTTTCCTCTCTGTGATATGTTGAAACAAATAGATGGAGATTTGGAGTGAAAAAATGGATTATGAATGAAGGGTTTTTATGTGAGGATTTATGTTGAGAATAAAGTATGACAACAATGAGGGACTGATCATGCAACTGCAGACTCTATTAAATATTTACAGAGATACATCTCCGGAAATACCTAACATGCAAAAGTGGCAGAAGAATTCAAATTGCCACCACAATTTCGAAGATGAATCTCCGAAATATCCACTAAACTGAACAATTAAAACGTTATCCTAAAACTATTTCAGAGATATATCTCCAAAATAAAACTAGACCAAATGTATGAAACATATCTTAGAATGACTTTGGTTGAGTGTGTAAAGGGTGCGCTTGAAGATATATCTCTAGAACCGAAGGGCATAAGTGAAAATCTACATATTATGCTAGAAGCATATAAGGTGCAATAAGAAATCTTCAAAATTTTAAAACTCAATTATGTAAAGATTGAGGCTCGTTAGAGTAAGTCTGTTTAGATCTAGATCGGATAAACTCTTTTGACAACTATACTATTATTAATATTAATTTATAAATCAATATTTTTGTTAATATATAAAATTAAAATTAATTGATACATATTGTTGGCGTAAATTTTTTTAATAAAACATTTATATTACTTTAAATATGATTAAAATAAAAATTAAATTTTTATAAAAAATTTGACAATTATATTTAATTAACAATATAAAACTACTTTACACTACATACTATACATCAATTAAATTCTTATCGTTTTTATCTCCAATTTAAGTTTAAAAACATTATCCGAAATTTAATTAAATCCTAATTTTTTCTTATTATAAAACAAGGTTGCAACTAAACCAAACAAAAAAAAGAAGGATGTAATATTATTTAAAAAAGGGGTGCAATTAGTAAACCCCTACGTTACGTGAGAAATTAACTCTCTCACACAATCCTCGTTTCGCTGCCTTCAAGTAGCAGTAGTAGTGATCAGCACGAAGAAGCAGCGCTCTCAAGTCACATCACACAGTCATTGAAAACCACCGTAACCAACCATTATAGTAACGACCGTTATTTCTTTCTTCTCTCTCTGTGATGGCCGGAATCCGTTTGCAACCGGAGGACTCCGACGTCTCGCAACAAGCGCGAGCTGTTGCCCTCTCCGCCGTCGATCTGGTCTCCGACGACGACCGCTCCATCGCCGCTGACTCATGGTCCATAAAGAGCGAGTATGGAAGCACTCTCGACGATGATCAGCGCCATGCCGATGCCGCCGAAGCTCTCTCCAACGCCAACTTACGTGCAACCTCAGACTACAGGTTCAATTCCTCTTCACCTCTCTCCATCTCTCTCTCTTTATTTTAACTTTGAACAGAAAAGCGAAATGAAACGAGATTGTATCCATGATTTGAAATTTGCTTTTCGTCAATTCATAATTTGCGAAGCATGACTGAGTCAATTTCCGATTCGTTGATTGATTGCATTTCTCTCTACCTTGTTTTTGTAGTTAATGTTATGAGATCGCGAATTCCTAAATATGCTTAGGGTGATAGTGAAAACCGTTAACATTACCATGATTAGGTTTTCGGATTTTAGTTATAGGAGAAGCAATGTGTAGTACATAGTTAAGATCTGGTTTATTCGGTTGCCCGCTTTTCCAAAATTTATGGAGGTTAAGGTGGTTTATATTTGAAGTTGACTGGTAATGTATGGATCTGAGTTGTAGCTATGTGAATTTTGGAATTTAGAATTTACTTCGGGGATTGGCAATCGGGAACATGTGTTTGTATGCTGGAACTTGTGAAATGAGTTGAATGAATGAATCTGAATAGTTATACTTGAATAAATTTTGTGTGTGCAGTTCTGACAAAGATGAACCTGACTCTGAAGCAGTTTCATCAATGCTGGGATTTCAGAGTTACTGGGATGCTGCATATACAGATGAGCTTACAAATTTTCGTGAACATGGTCATGCTGGTGAAGTTTGGTAAATTTATTTTTGTGAACACGTTGCGTGATTTATATGGTTTTTGTGCAGAGGTTTTCTTTGATTTTAAGGTATCAAATGTTTTACTGATATTAATCTAATTCTATATCATCTATTTGTATTTGTAGTCAATTTTTTTTTTCCCTTAGAAAAACAAGTTTTCAGGAATTTGCGCTTAGAATAATCAAATCAAAACATCTCTGCTTTTAATCTTCATTTATTAGGTGAATTTACTGACCAGAAACCATACTTTTTGGTGGGTAATAATTAGTTTTGTAGGCGTTTCTTGGAGAGTATTATTGATTCATTATTATTTTGATATGATTTGATTATTTAAACATAAACAAATGGCCGGATTAGACTTCTAAAAATAAGAAACTATTTGAGCTTCTACTTGATGAACTTTTTCGAATCAGGATTTCTTCATTGGTTATTTTGCTTTCCTAGCTTGTTGTACTCGTTATTCAGTCTCCTATCAAAGATACTCGCCCTTTTATTAAATGATTACTATACACTTTTCTACCTTTCAACATAAAGTAATTTGGAAGAATTTAAAGGATTATGCAAAGCTTCAGAATATAAGCCGGCTTCCTTGCTTTGCCTAAACCAGAAACTTAGTTTGATCAATGTGGTACCATTTAAACATTCCTATTATATCTATGGAGATGATACTCAGTTTGGGGCCGTGTTATTAATAGCGGATCGCAAAAAATAGCGGATTGTCATGCCAGAAATTCGATATGAGAAATATCAGATCTCCAGAAAATAGCAGATAGCATAGTGGATGCCACAACATGTTGAAACATAAATAAATGTATATAAAATAAAGCATGTTGCACACATATAAATGCTTCATAAACATAAATTAAAATAGTAATTGACATGAAACTCAAAATTTCAATTTTCAAACAACTAATAAAGCATGAAGTGTAGTTGCATACATTGCGGCATTGCGCGGAGGTGAAGGAACAAAGCGGTTACCTTCTTTTTTATTTTGAGCCAGTGAGTTATGTCTTTACCTAAATGCTGGCAGTGAAGTCTCATTGCTTTAGGTATTATGTATAATAATGCCAGTAATCAACTCACCACTTCATAATTGGTAAATTTTTAATGTTTTTTTAAAGTTTGGCCACTGCTAAAACATACAACTACGCTATTCATTATGTACTGGTATAACTGATATATCAAAACGCGCCTCTATACTGCAAATAGCGGAGTTGACATATTGTATCGGCTATACCGGTTTTTTAACAACACTGGTTTGAGGAGAATGTGAACTTCAGACTGACATTAAGATTTCAGGGTTTTAAAACGTTGCTTTGCTTTATATAATGTTTAAACCTCTTCAATTCCTTTTAGAAGTCAGTCCATGTATGGGATCTTTTATGGAAAAGTTAGGTAAATATATTGTGAGGCGGTAAGAATAATTTTCCGTATAACAGATGTGAAATGAACATTTTATATTGATGATGACGAACCTTGACAATGAGGGAAATTGTTGGAAATGGTACATTTTTAATATTTTCATTGAAAATTGTTCAGCCGTTACATTTTGTGCTGTTAATTTTCATCTTTGTAGGTTCGGCGATGATGTGATGGAGGTAGTTGCATCTTGGACAAAGACATTGTGCATTGGCATTTCTCAAGGTCGCATTCCAAATCATGTTGACGATGCTAAGGAGGAAACTGGTGAGCTAGAGGATAAACTTTTGTCTAGTTGGAATGTACTTGACATTGGGACTGGCAATGGTTTGCTTCTCCAAGAATTAGCTAAACAAGGGTATGGTTTCACTTTTTATCCATATTAATTGTTTGTAATATACTGCATAAATATTAAAAAATTATACTTAACTATAATCCATTGTCTTCACTTATCCAATTTCTGTCCCACACTATCTCCCACTCCCTGTCTCTCACAACAACTACACAAAAATGTGTCAATTCTCCTTCGATTTGTCAGAATATATATAGGCGTATTATTCTTGCACCAAACATATATATGTCCATACTTCAAATAAAATTGAAGGATAACTTCACTACTGTGGAAAAAGTAATAAATGATTTATATCAAATAACACTTAAAATATATGGAAGTTTAATTAATTAAGGGAATTGGCATATTAGCTCATGGTTGTGCATACCAGTAATAAATGATTTATATCAAATAACTTATAAAATATATGGAAATTTTAATTACCTAAGGGAATTAGCATAAGCTCATGGTTGTGCATACCAGTGAAGCTATGAGCCTACAAAGTTGGGAATTTTCTACTTAAGAAGATTTCAGGCATGTTTATTTTTTAATAAAACAAAATAAATCATTAAAACTGGAAATGTTGGAACATGTAATTTTCTGGCTAACAATTAGACTTAAACGCCCTTCCATTTCTCCCGTCAATTTATACCGTTTAATTTACTGGAGTTCCTACAACTTGTAGGTGCTAGATTGCTTATAGATCAAATTATGCTCTACCGACAAGTTATAAAAGCTCAGATTATCTGGGCATTGTCCAGAGAAGACATTGTATGGAAAATATATAAACTCGGCGTAAAAACATAGCTTCGGAAAAAGAGGAAATCATGTTTGGCGGCTTCTCCCTGGTTGCTTACATAAAAAATTTCCCCAGAATTTTACTCAAATTAATTTCCAATTTCAAAATTTTACTGACACCTATTTCTCTTACTCGCATTGCGTTAGTATAAAAATTAAAGAAATGAAGAGATAAAGAAAGTAAAAGTATATTGAAGTGAAGAAACAAAGAACTACTGAAAGAAAGACTGCATAAATATATAATTTTATTGTTTTCCTAGGAATGGAACTGCTCTTTGTTCAGTCTTTAAATCTTGCATATTTTGAATACTGATTGTGGAGAGATATTTGCTTTTACTTTTTATAGTATTACAAACACCTTATTGAGCAAACTCTTGGTGTCTTCTCAGGTTCTCTGATTTAACTGGAACTGATTATAGTGAACGGGGCATCAACCTTGCCCAAAGCCTTGCTAACCGTGATGGGTTTCCCAACATCAAATTTTTGGTATGTTCAACTTTCAGAGTCTGTGCACGTGTATGCTCTTGCCTGTGTTGAATACATAATTTTGTCTCTTTTCTTCTCATGTAGCTTAAAGGCAGGAGGTTGCCCGTATCTAAGCTTTGAGTAATAGAATGTTAGACATGATTTTGTAAATGTGCTTTGCTTTGTTAAAATGAGTTTTATCCACCTTTTTTTTTTGCGACGAGACTCAAATTAATGCTAGATAACTTCACGTTTTTGGGGTAATGTCCAAATTGTGCCACAATAAGGTATATTTGATTAAAGCAGAACTCTCTAATCTTCAACAAGTTTTCTTAGGTATGTCAATTAACTTGGGATAAGATCAAGCAATTGACATATATTTAGTACAAAAGTCATGGCCTTTTTTTATGGGAATCTTTATTACATTAATCTCTTATTTTGCATTTTTGTTTTATGTTTTGCTCTTCTGTTTAGAAGGGTTTGTTCTCGATCTTTTTAATTCTCTCTTTTTCTCAATAAAGCTGTTTCTTCTTTGAGTGAGTGTAGTAGATTTGTGCTTTTTTCTCACTTTCATATTCATTCATGCTGAACAACCCTGTGTAAATAAGAAAATGAATCTGAGTTTATGAACTAAAAGTTTGTGTTTGCAGTAATCATATGACCAACCTCAATGCCCCTTTAGAAATATTATTTTCAATATTTATTGAGAATAGTAACTTCTGGTTGCAAATAACATAATTATCTCACCTGCATCATGGGATTTTCAGCATTGCCAGGCATGATGCAACCTGATACATCTCAGGCTGCCTGTCCTAGGCTCAAAATGGGCATTGCCTCAAAAGTGATGTGAATGAATCATGTGATTTTCACAACACTTTCTGAACTTCTATTTTACATTGGAGTTTATTATATGAATTGCTTGGAAATTGCAATAAAAGAGAAATGAATTCATCTTGTGTTGACATTGTTTTAATTCTTAAATAGAAGCCTTTTTTTTTCTTTATCACCTTTTCCCCCTGTTTTATAGTATATGACTACTTGTATTCATTATTAGCCTTTAACTTGTTAAGCATGCCCTATTTTGTATGCAATACATATCTATCCTACCGTTATTGCAACATCTAATTGAGATACATTGATTTAACTGTTTAAAGGTTGATGATGTCCTTGAAACTAAGTTGGAACAAGTGTTTCAACTTGTCATGGATAAAGGGACACTTGATGCTATTGGATTGCATCCTGATGGTCCTGTCAAGAGGTAAGAGAAAGTACTATCTTATCCATGGTTCTGTCATAATTCTATTGGGATGATGTTATTTTGTTTTGTAAAACCGTGTTACACATTTCTTTCTCACTCGCGACTTTGTTCTCCATATAATCTTCTGCTGGTTGCTTTCTTATTTTCAGAATGATGTATTGGGATTCTGTTTCAAGGCTGGTTGCTTCTGGTGGAATACTTGTAAGTACTTTTGAACTTGTTCTTGTCCAAGGTTAATATTAGATTTAGTCATTAAAAACAATGTTGGATTTAGGCCCATGTTTTAATTAACTGCCAAATAGTTGGCGCTCGTGACATGAATTTTGCTTATTACAAAGTGGGAGTCCTTTGTTCTTTACAGTAGAAGTTGTGGTTATTTTATTTTATGCCGTTAATTGATGCTTATGCACTTGCTATTTTTCTCCCATGCCGTGTTCGTGACATTGTTGCAGTTTTTCTACTTTATGATGCTTGTCCTTTCTGACTTTCCTTTGTATCGTGTAATGTAAGGTGATAACATCTTGCAACAGTACGAAGGATGAGTTAGTACAAGAAGTGGAAAGTTTCAACCAAAGAAAAAGTGCTACTGCCCTGGAACTTGAGGTAGCCAAGGATGATGAATCATGCAGAGAACCTCTATTTCGATATGTCAATCATGTCCGCACATATCCAACATTCATGTTTGGTGGATCCGTAGGCTCCCGCGTTGCCACAGTGGCATTCCTTCGGAAGTGAAGCCTGCCCTTTTACCCTCATGATTTTAGGTGTCTCTGGTGAATGGTTTGATGATTTGTGTAGTAGACACATGTGTTGAACTTCTGGTGTTATCGTGTCGAATAGTAAATATTTTTCTTATTTATGTGGCAGTGAATTTTCCTCCCCTTTTGTGTGGGTGAATAGTTGTAATCGATCAATTTCCTTAACAAATGGAGTTAAAGGGAAAAGGACAGTTAGTTCAGTGAGGCAAAATATTATTTCACTCGAGTTTTTTTGGCAGTAATTACAAATTTACAATGTGCTTGTCTTTTTAAACAAATTGGAGTTTTCCGAGTAGGTTGATGTACTAGATCAAATGTATTTCTCACCTTAAATCAGATAGCTTAAGTGACGAGTTAGCACTGCCAACTATATGAATTGGGTTGAGTTGGCTGATAGATAGTATACTAACCACTAGTATTTAAAAATAAAGAAAACATCATAAAAATTTAATTTTCTCGTTGAATTCCAACTTATGATGTGTGTACTCATTATAATAGATGATAGCTCCTATTTGTGTAGAGTTGTCTGAGAGTTTAAGGGTTGTTGTGTTGTTAGAGTAAACTCACGCAAAGATGATGAGAAATTATGTACAGTGATGTTTTATGAGTTAATTAAACATCCTTTCTAATTTTAGGATTGATGTATTTATAGGAGTCTCTTGGATTTGGATCTTAAGCTCTAAGTAGTAGCACTCTTATCTCTTAGGAGCATGGGAAATGAGTGATTATTCTCTAATTCTTCTGGAGAACGCGTCTTTTATCTTTGACGACCTCCAATGTTGTTAATGGGTGTGGACACATCACTCCACAAATTTTCATAATTGGGCGAGTAACCTAGTTAAAGGGAGACTGTTTAAGATGACGAATACTCGTTATGATAAATGAGCGAACATTGGAATTAAGGGTGGCTCATGACCCTGTTTTGGGCGATGAGCGTTATCCACTTGTTCTTGGTGAACATTGTACCGTCTCATAAGTATTCCTTTTCAAGGGCAAACTGGTTTATTTTTATAACCCTATGTGAAGTTTCAAGTGGAGTTCCTCAGACGAGATTTTAAGTTGAGTCTGTTAAGTGAGACTTTAAGTCGAGTATCTCAAGAGAGATTTTAAGTTGAGTCTCTCAGGCAAGAATATAATGAGTATTTCATGAGAGCTTTTAAGTTGAGCTCCTCTGGAGAAACTTTAAGTTGAGTCCTTCAGGTGAGAATTTAAGTTAATTTCCTTGGTCGAAAATTTTAGTTGAGTTCCTGGGAGAGAATTTAAGTTGAGTCCTTAAGGAGAGACTTTTATTTGAGTCCTTCTAGAGAGACTTTAAGCTGGGTCCCCCAGGCGAGATTTTAAGTTGAATCCCTCAGGAAAGACTTCAATTTGAGTTGCTCAGGAGAGATTTTAAGTTAAGTCCCTATAGCGAGACTTTAAGTCGAGTCCCTCATTCGAGACTTTAAGATGAGTCACTCAGGTGAGACTTTAAGTTAAATATTCTAGATGATACTTTAAGTTAATTCACTCAGGTGTGATTTTAAGTTGAATTCTTCTAGAGAGACGTTAAGTTGAGTCCCTCAGGCGATAGTTTAAGTTGAGTTAATAAGGAGTAAATTTAAATTGATTCTCTATGGAGAAAATTTAAGTTGAGTTCCTTAGACGAGACTTTAAGTTGAGTCCCCCAAACAAGACTTTAAGTTGAGTCCTCCAGACAAGACTTTGAGTCAAGTCTCTCAAACAAGACTTTAAGCTTAGTCCCACTGGCGAGACTTTAAGTTGAGTCTCTTAAGAGAGACTTTACATTGAATTCCTTATGCAAGACTTTAAGCTGAGTCCCTCAGGCGAGACAGAGTCCCTGAGGTGAGACTTTAGGTCGAGTACCTCAGGAAAAATTTTAAGTCGAGTCTCTCAAGTGGGACTTTAAGTTGATTTATTCAAGCGAAACTTTAAGTTGAGCCTCCCAGGCGATACTTTAAGTCGAGTCCAAAAGACAAGACTTTAAATTGAATCCCTCTATGGAGAGATTAAGTTGAGTCCCCTATACGAGAGTTTGAGTGGAGTTCCTCAGAAAATACTTTAAGTTGAATCCCTCAAGTGAGACTTTTAGCTGCGTCTTCCAGATGCTACTTGAAGTCAAGCCCCTAAGGCGAGACTTTAAGTTGAGTGCTTCTGGCGAGACCTTAAGTTGAGTCTCCCACAAGAGACTTTAGGTTGATTCTCTCAAGCGTGACTTTAAGTTGAGTCTCTAAGGTGTGAATTTAAGTTGAATCCCCTAGATAAGACTTTAATTTGATTTTTTAAGGCGAGACTTTAAATTGAGTCCTTCTAGAGAGACTTTAAGTTAAGTCCTCCAGGTGAGAGTTTAAGTATAGTCCCTCACAAATACTTTAAGTTTAGTCGCTTAGGAGAGACTTTAAGTTGAGTCTTTCAGATGATACTTTAAGTTAAGCCCCTCAGGTAAGACTTTAAGTTGAGTTATTTTGAAGAGACCTTAAGCTGAGTCTCCCAGAAGAGACATTAAGTTGAGTTTCTCAAGCAAGAATTTAAGTTGAGTCCTTAAGGTGTGACTATAAGTTGACTATCTCTGGCGAGACTTTAAGTTGATGTCCTCACGCGAGAACTTAACTTTATTTCCCCAGACAAGACTTTAAGTTAAGTCCTCTATATAAGTTTAGACTCTCAAGCAAGACTTTAAACCGAATCCCCCTGACAACACTTTAAGTTGAGCCCCTCAGATGAAACTTTAAGTTGAGTCCCTCAAGTGGGACTGTAAGTTGAGCCCCTCCGGCGAGACTTTAAGTTAAGTTCCTTAGGCCAAACTTTAAGTTGAGTCCATCAGGATTGATTTTGAGTTGAGACGCTCAGACAAGACTTCAAGTTCAGTTTCTCATGAAAGACTTTAAATTGAGTCCCTTAGGCAAAACTATAAGTTGAGTCTCTCTGGAGAGACTTTAAGTTGAGTCCTTCAGTTGAGAATTTAAGTTTATTACCTCAAGTGAAGCTTTAAGTTGATTCCCCCAGGAGAGAATTTAAGTTGACTCCCTCAGGAAAGACTTTAAGTTGACTCACCCAAGCAATATTTTAAGTTATGTCCCTCTAGCAAGACTTTAAGTTGAGTCCCTCAGACAAGACTTTAAGTTGAGTTCCTCAGGCGAAACTTTAAGTTAACTCTTCCAAATAATACTTTAAATTAAGTCACTCAGGTGAGACTTTAATTTTATTCCTTCTGGAGAGACTTTAAGTTGAGTCCCAAGAAGATACTTTAAGTTGAGTTCCACAAGCTAGAGTTTAAGTTGGTCCCTGAGGCATGGATTTTAGTTGATTTCCTCTAGCGAGAATTTAAGTTGATTTAGGATGAAGTTATTTAAATGATAGAGTGTTAGAGGTATCCTTCTCAGGGGGAACACATCCTTCAGGCGAGGCTTTGAGCTCTCTGGGGAAGGACTTCAATCAAGCCTTCAGACAAGAATTTAACTAAAGTCTTTTAGGCCAGACTTTGATCGCGTCCCTTGGTCGAGACTTTTAGTTGGATCCCGCCCGAGAAAACTCTAAGTTACTCAGTCATGACGTTTAAATGAACCTGTTTGACGGGACTCTCATCCCCTCAAGCAATATTTTATTTTGAACCTGACTAATGGGACTTCAAGTCCCTCAGGCAAGGTGTTAATCCCCTTGGGCGGGACTTCGATAAAGTCCTCAAACAAGAATTTAAGTAAAATCTTTTGGGCTAGACTTTATTCGCGTCCCTTGGGCCAGACTTTTAGTTGGATCCTGCCCGAGAAAGCTCCAAGTTACTCGGGTGGGGCATTTAAATGAGATTATTTGATGGGACTATTAGTCCCTTAGGCAAGATTATATGTTGAGCCTGCATGATGAAACTTTCCCTAGGGCGGTACTTTGATTAAGCCCTCAGACAAGAATTTAAGTAACGTCTCTTGGTCCATACTTAGGTTGCGTCCCTTGGGTGAGGCTTCAGATGGGGTAGTCCCCGATGGATAGTATGGTCATATTGTCTTTTAGTGTGACAAGGATCTTCCTGTAAAAGTCTAACGTATCCATATAGCCTTAAGAGGGGGCAAGAAATTTCTCCTAGAAGTCCAACATCTTTGTATTTCTTGAGGAGGCGACAAGGATCTTCTCGTTGAAGTTCATCATTTTTTCATTGTCCTAGGAGGCAATAATGATCTTCTTTTGAAAGTCCAACATTTTTCTATTGCCTGATCAGGAAGCAAGGATCATCCCATGGGAGCCCAACGTTTTAGTATAGAATTTCAAGGCGGAAAGGATCTTCTCATGAAAGTCCAACATGCATAATACCGTAACCAAAATGTCCTCCATATTCATAAACATTCAAAGGTTCATACATAGGTGGGCGATGTGTCCCCTCAAAAATTACAAACAATCTAACTATAATAATATTACAAACGAATAGAGCTCCATGTTCTGGGTATGAGCCGTCCATCAGATTCTTGCATCTTGTATTCCCTATGGAGGAGCTTTTGAAATATGTTGTGCGGTCCCTCCTGAAACACCCTTCTACCCCTCAGAACATTCACGATAAATAAAAATAATTATATCAGAGTATATCACCGCAAGGGTGCCATATTTCGTCATAAAGTCACAATAACGTCTTACCCAGTAACACGAGTTTTATTCATCATAATTTTAATCAATTACTACGCAGCGGAAAGATTCAAAAGCAACAACATAATTTGTAATTAAAAGAGTTTTAAAAACAAGACTTATAACTTCATGATGCCAACAACAAAAGAACACAACAGTTCGACTCAAATGTCTCAACCCGATGTTACATATCAGAGCAAGACCTTCTAATAAACCGGAATGACCATAATACTTCAAGACTAATTCTTCACGCACCAAGAGAGCTAATCCTGATCACCTGCAAGTTACCTACGTGGATACAACATTCAAACAGGAAGGGTGAATAATCATAAATCATTATACAAGATATAAAGATAAGATATATTAAGATAT